CTTGGCGAAATTCGACAGTTTGGACGCGACACCAGAAATAGCGACCGCAATGTTCGATAAACTTGTTTCCAACAGAGCTTACGAGGACCTGACTTTGAGGAGGACAGAAGCGATGCAAATGTGGGGCGCGTGCGCCAAGGAAACGGCTACCGGCAAATTTGTCTTTGAACTTGAGCTTCACGATGCCGCGGCATCGGGGCGTACTGAAGGGCCAGACTCAAATACGGGCCGGGCCCATTTCGTTGAACTTTGCTTAAAACGGGGGACTATACTTCCATTAGTCTTCCTGCGTTTGCTTTTGAGGTTGTTAATCATTCTTGAATACACAATTTCACCTGAAAAAAAAAAAAGAGCACTGTTCAATTCAAATACACATCGGTTGAAACAAAAAAACAAACTCAACATGCAACACACAGTGGAAAAATTTTTTGCGGATTTCGGACCAAAATTCGGTCAAAATTCGGAAAAACCGAATTTATCATTTTGTCGGTCAAAATTCGGTGCCTCAGCAGAGCGAGAATATGGCGATAGCTCGACGTCTGATTGGTCAGAATTTGCTTTCTTGGTCTCCTTTTATATTACATGTATTAAAAATGATTTTTTTTTAATTTTTAATAAAATTTATTTTATTATTGGTTTCCATATTTGCACAAATTTACAAAAATCTCAGATCGCCCCCGCCTTCACCTTGCTGGTGCTTTGTACTTGCCTTTGGAGGGCGTGACTGGTAGCACAGTGGCCAAGCATCTTGCAGCCCCGAGCTCCGCTTTGCTCCTTTCCGCATCTGTTCAAGTAGGAATCACAAGTTAGTCACTGTTCTGTGTCATCATGCATGACAGCTGACGGCGGGGACTTACACGTTTGCTTCAACGAGACACGTTGTCTTGCTGGCCGAACATTGCGATTGACTCCGTCTCGATCATCAGTTTCACACGCCTGCGACACATCAGCTCACAGTGAGTATTTCGTCTGTTGCGTTCTCCAATCGAACAGTATGCGTACCGTGTTCAGCACCACTTGGACGGAAAGAAGCTTGTGCGATGTGACGAGTGCGAATCTCAAGTTTTTTTTCGCAATGTTCTTGTTCTTTCCTCCTTGGAGTGCTTGTTAGCTCGACAGCCGCCGCCCGCTGAAGCGCGTCAATGACAATCTTGGACATCAAGTGGATGCTGTGCTACTTGTGATCATATTCCAAGGTGAGGAGTGCGAGACAAGAAGAAAAATCATGTGATTTTGGGCGCGAAATTTTGAAAAATGCATTTTCCCGCCAATTCCCGCCCTAGCTGATTTAAAAAAATTGCATTTTCTCCCCTTTCTATCGCGCTTCTGCAGTTCCTTCGCATCTCTCCGTGTCTTCCTTCTATACCCATGTGAGATGAGTGTTTTCCGCGCATCCGCGCAGTCGGCATCGATCTGCAGACAGCAGAACGACCACATCTTTCTTTTCGTTTTTTTCTTTTTTATCGCGCCTTTTTATCTTTTTTTCTTTTCTTTTTTTCTTTACCTCCATCCTCTTGTCCTCCTGACATCAGCATCGCTTGCGTGCGTTGGCTGCTGCACAGTCAGAGAGAGGTAAAGCCCAATGACAGACAAGCACCACAAGCCGCGCGACGGCTGTGTTCGCCTTCTTCTTTGCTTTTTTTTTTTTATCTTTTTCTTTTTGTTGTGGCACACTCACAAATGTCACTGCTGGCCATCTCGATCTGCACTCGATGTAAAATAATAATAATAAATACAATAATAAAATGGTAGACTGAAGCAGTGACATTACAAAATAAAATAAAAAATTAAATAAAAATAAAATAAAATAAAATAAAATAAAATAAAATGTAGCATTAAAAAATAAAAAATAAATCACAAAAGAAAGCGCAACCAAACAGGTTCGAACCCAGTAGCAAAAAGAAAGCAAAAAGCATCAAGACGCTTGATCTAGACAGCTCGAAGTGAACGCTGGGCGAAATGGGATTCGATCGCAGGCATGAAACTACACTTTCTCATCCTCCTCCAATCGCGCGTATCTCGATTGGATAATATGTCATAATATCTCAGAATACTACAAGTCGAGAAAAGAAGCACGAAACATCGCGAAAAGACACGCAAACGGTGAGGACAAGCTCACTCGTTTCGTGTTATCGCCTGTCCTGTCGCTGCATTTGCCCCTTTTGCCCCGCTCGCTGCTTTGAATAATACTAGAATAAGCGGTCGTCCTAACGCCATATTGTATTATGGTGTGCGGGGCGCGGTTTTCTGCCATTTTGAAGCGAACATTCACGAAAAAAGAAGCCGGCCGCAAGCGTTCTTTCAACACTCTGTTTCCATGCTGTTACTGCCACTGGACTGGAACTGCTGCGACATCACTTGAGTATAACCACACGATAATGAATACTCACATCACCACCCTTCACAATTTTTATCGCAGGCCGGTATCAAGCTCGCGGAAGCGACACCCATCGTTGCAAACAACGCAACAACCGATCAACGCTCGTTTTTCAGCGCACACCGCACGCTTGACGTCAGCGTTCACTTGCATTACATTTGAATGATTTTTGACACGCACTGGTGTACAGTGAGGACCGAGTGCCGCAAGACTGCCAGCGGTACAAGTAAGGGAAGTGACCAATTTGAGCTCACTTCTGTTTTTACGTCTCAAGATTGGCGTGGCTGTAGCTGCACCCAGTGCGCAGCCGCCGTTGAAGCGGATCCATGACTGGTTACAAGTATGGCTGACGCTACAGACAGACGTCGCCATCGCAAGCGCTGTCTGCCCGCTGACAAGAGGCTGGAGCTGCACCAAGTTGGCCATTCCCAGAGCTGCTTCCAACTCCAAAGCACTTCATCATGATTCCGTGGCATTTGAATATGTGTGAATAGTGTATCAATTGTATTTGTAGCGAGAATGAGAGATATCTTGAGTGAAGAATTGGTGCACTGGTGCTGTCATTGAGTGGTGGCTGCGAAGTTGTGTCAACAGCGCTTTCCTGCGTCTGTGCGACCGTCCCCGACCGCCCCCGCAACAGAAGCGATGCAAATGTGGGGCGCGTGCGCCAAGGAAACGGCTACCGGCAAATTTGTCTTTGAACTTGAGCTTCACGATGCCGCGGCATCGGGGCGTACTGAAGGGCCAGACTCAAATACGGGCCGGGCCCATTTCGTTGAACTTTGCTTAAAACGGGGGACTATACTTCCATTAGTCTTCCTGCGTTTGCTTTTGAGGTTGTTAATCATTCTTGAATACACAATTTCACCTGAAAAAAAAAAAAGAGCACTGTTGAAAAAATTCGGTCGTTCCGAAATTCGGAAAATTTTTTCCACTGTGACAAATCACAAATCAGCGACACAGAACTTCGTGACAAAATGAAGTGCCAGATACAGAACGACAGCAGCTGCCAATGGCACCAATCAACGACCAATGGAAGAATCATCATTTTGACTGGACGAATGATCAGTTTGGCTCGACAAATCGTATCGTGGATGGATAAATCCGTATCCTAGATGGACAAATCGTCAGCCTGGCGGGACGCATCGGTTTTGCTCGGCACGACCCAGTCACCAGTGTCCGGAAAGCGCGACCACATGAAAGGCACAACTCGGCGCACATCCTCGCCCATGAGAACAATCACACGAGGGTCGGGTTTTTTCTTCAATGTTGCCAGTGCTTTGGCCCATTTTCGATCTGCCGCAAGCCGAGTGGCTGCTTTCGGGCTTTGACTGGCGGTTCCAGTCACCATCACGACCATTAGCACGTCGCAGACGGTCTCGCCGGTCTGCGGGTCTGTAACACCTGCGGTCACCTTCTCTAGAGTCGTTTCGATCGTGCCCTGGAGATTGCTGAAAGTATCGCTTTGACTCACGGCTTGATGGTGCTTGAGTTGGAAGAGAACCAACAAGGGTTTCGTCTTTGCGTACAAGTTGTGCTCAGCGGGAAGAAGGACCCACATGTCGACTCCGAAAGTGTTTTTCGCCGTCTGAACTACCGGAATGCCGTTTGCTGGGGCGTCAACACAGGAGGCCATCCAGCCGATATCCAGTTGCTTACGGGACCAGGGGCTTCTTCCTTGAACCCGACGAGTGAAGAAGTTGAAGGTCGAGTTGCTTTTGGACAGAATCTGTGTGCCCTCGATGATCGGCACGTAAGAGGCAGACGGGGAGAAGGCGCGGGACAATACGGTAGCCTGAGCAAAACCGCGAAGGTCGGTCAGGTTTTTGATGCACAGAAGGCTGGTGACTTTGCAAGACTGATCGGCTGTGCCGAGCAAGCGGAGATGTGCCGTCAACGACAAGTGCGCAGCGGTTTCGAAAATATCCCCGTCTTCAACAGACTCGAAAGGCATCCGAAACAAATTCATAGCAGACCAACATGTGAGGTCCGCGTGCTGGTGGATCATGTCTTTCAGATAAGGAATCGGGCAACCAACCACGACCATAGCATTGGGCGTTGGAGCATCGGCCGCTGGAGCGAGAGTCAGGATTCCGTGGTAGGCGAGCTGTTCAACTGTGAACTGACCAACTCGTGTCGATGTCAGAACAGGCCGCTGAGTCAGCACGAGATCAACAAGCGCTAAGACGTCTCGCTCGACAACAGGTAAAGGGAACGAGACGGTCGCGAGTCGCATTGCGAAGTGATTCAAAACCATGGCAATGGTTTTATTGTTGGGCTCATATGCGAGCTGCGTATGAGCCGAAAGACTTGAAAGAAGCTTTGGAGAACCGCCAACATCGTGAACAAACTGACGAAACTCTCGAGTGTTCCGCCACTGCGCGTGAAGCTGAATCGGAGGTTTCGCAGTGTTCCACTTTTTCTCAAGCAGACCCAGGGCAGAAGGAAAAGAGAGCGGCTCGAGATACACCAGTTTCATCCGATGAACTGTAAGCGGATACTCGGTCAAACCAGCGGTTGAAGTAGCTGTCAGGAGCACAACGACAGTGTTCTTCGTCGAGTCAAAGTTGCAGGCGAGAATCTCGTTCAAAGCATTGGCCAGCGTGCCGGAAGCTTCTTCCAATGTCATGTGTCGTCTCAGGAAGTTGTGAGCGAGCTGATACTCGTCGATATGGATGATCAGAAGGGCGTGTTCATCGTCGGGAATCTGCTGGCGCTCGCGCAAGCGTCGCCAGAGCTCGCGGATGACCGATTTGACGTCGAGGTTGCTCATCCGACTCAGCAAATCACTAGCTCTGCTGATGGGCAAGTCCAGCAGGCCGCGAGCAGCAAGACGTTTGGCAAGCCAGATGTGCTTGCGAAAGTTATCTTCAGGTTCGAGACCGTCGCCTCGACCGTTGAAATCAATGAAGACGGTCTGCGTACGATGGGTGAGCAGATTCGTCAACAATGACCTGCGCTCCTCTGAAAAACCGAGAACCGGTGCTGGATGCTCGAGAGCCTTGAGGAGGTGCGTGATAATGTTCGCGCCGTAAGTTGTTTTGCCCATGCCGCTCATGGTGGCGACTTGCAAAAAATTGAATGTGGAGCGATAGGAGCGGTTGGGGCTGAAAATTGATTCTTGAATTTCGGTCAGAATCTCTTTGGTCGTATTGTAGCGTAGATAGACAGGGTCGACATGCTCAGGCCAATCTCCCGGGTATCGTTGCTGGTCCGGGGCACGCTTCAGCTCGCGAACATCGGTGGGATACGAGGGGCCTATCGACAGCAAGCAAACCGAGGAATGAGTGAAAACACACACACACACACACACACACACACACACACACACACACACACACACACACACACACACACACACCACACACACACACACACACACACACAATTATTGCACGTCAGTTCGTACCTTGGTTCTTGGACCACTGCTCGACCCAGATGAGGAAGGTCGTCACGATTCGTTGCACACTTGCACTCTTGTGAACTTCGTCCATGGCCTTAAGGCTTGCTTCGCGTGCCAGGGAAACTCCCTGCGCCGGAATGCGTTTGAATTCCTTGAGCTCCAATGCGAGAGCAGTGATCTGGTCATTTTCGAAATCCGGGTCGGAGGACAGCTTTTCGAGCAGGTGCTTGCGAAGGGCGGGTGCCTCCCATGTCGCCTCTGTTGTCACGTCGGTTCAAAGTCAGTCGCGAAACAACTCTATACGCCAAAGCAGTGGACGAATCGTACCGAAAGACTTGCGGAGGGCCTCGGGCAGGCGATCAATCAACGCACGGTCATCCTCCGCTGAAGGGTTGACAGTCGCCTAGAACGATGACACAAAGTGAGCCTGAGAACATGCAACTCAAGACCATGATAAGGATGCGTACAGAAGGGGCTTTGGCTTCGGTCTCGGACGGAGGACCAGAAGCAGAGGTGGAGCGGGACCTGCGGGGCCAAATGAGCAGGCTGGAGCACTCATAGCTCCTCTCGATACGGGAGCGGACGCCGCCAATGGTGGGGAACGGGAGGGCGCCAAAGGAGGGAACGAGGACGGCGCCAGAGGGGGAGAGGAAGGCGTCAAACGCCGGCACGGGCAAAGTGGGTGGCGCAACTACAAGAGCAGGTGGCAGTGAATGAATTGGGTGGTATTCATCAAAGCAAGTAGCACTTGCTGTCACACATTCAAGTCGAGACTCGAACACAGTAGAGAAGCTTCGCTCTTGACGACGTGATGCAACAAAAAAAAAAAAAAAAAAAAAAAAAAAAAAAAAAAAAAAAAAAAAAAAAAAAAAAAAAAAAAAAAAAGGGCCGGCAGGCCTTCAAGCCGAGAGAGATGACGCACACCAGTCAATGGTGACGGAGTTGGCATTGTAGACACGGGGCGCAGCGCGAGGTAAGGGGTCTTGATGCCCAGCAATGAGGCGAACCCCAGCAGGCAAGCTGAAAAAGAGGGGGGGAAAAAAAAAACAGAAAAAAAAAAAGGCTGGCTGGCCGAACATTGCCACGCAGGCCGCATGCACGCCACACAACGACGATAGAGGCGCACCCCGCGTTGGTTCTCATTGACCAGCAGCTGGTGCTCGTTGACCAGCAGCAGAGGGAAGCGGGGAGCAGGGGCATCGGTGGACAGAAACAGAACAAAGAACTTTACCTTGAGCACGTTTCGGCGCTTTGGAAGCGACAACGCCAGCTGCAGCCGTGCTCAGTGCAGCAGCAGCAGCAGCGCGCGGCACAGGAGTCGTGATACACGCAGCAGCACCACGGGATGCCGCTTTGACGAGCGGAGCGGGCGGAAGGCGAATGGCACTCAGCATCGTGTTCAATGAAGCGATGACGAGCGTGAGGACGGTTGAAACAGCGACTGAACCTGTCAAAGTGATTTTTTTTTTTTTGGAAGTCATGTCGTCAATGTCAATGGTGAGTTTGGTTCATTTGTCCACTTTCATCATGACGACGAAGACTCGCAATGTTGAGATGCGATCTTGCTGATGGCTTCGCTTTTCTTTTGTTTTTCTTTCGGTTGTTTTTTGTTGTGAGTTTGGTTTTGACTTCAAATGCAAGCTGGAATCGAGCTCCCAGGCTGCGCTCTGTGCTCTCCTACTTTCTCGATAAATCACGCAATGACCTCGCATCAATAACCATGGTGGTATTGGTGGGTAGGGGGTGAAAGGGGCGCCCAGTGCCGAGCACGCTGAAGTCGTCTTTTTTTGTTTTTGTTTTTTTTTTCCTTTTTTTGCTGTTTATGGTCATGCTTTTTACAAGAAGGAAAATAAAAAAATCAATCGAGAAAACGAAAACCGTTCAACCCACCAAGAAAAAAAACCAAAGGAAAGAAGAAAAAAAGCAACAGAAGAAACGCGGTGTCACAGCAACACAAGACGACTCACTCTCCGCTCCCTCCCCCTTCACTACGCATGACAGATGGATGAAGCGCGTTGCACCACACGCGAAACGCAAACGCCGACACCGGAATACGGCGATCAAGCGGCGAGATTGGAGTTGAAAAAAAAAAGCAAAAAAAAAACACGAAAAACAAAAAAACGGCAAGCAACAGAAGAAACGCGGTGTCCGCACCACTCGCTCTCCGCTCCCTCTCCCTTCAATGCGCATGACAGATTGATGAAACACATTGCACCACACGCAAAACGCAAACGCCGACACCAGAATACGACGATCAGGCGGCGATATTGGAGTTGAAAAAAAAAAAAAAAACTTAAAAGACCGCCGCCAAAGCAATCAAGAGAGCGAGCGAGCGAGATGGTTACGAGAGAGAGCGAGAGCGAGAGACGGATGGGAATGCGTTCGATGAGAAGAGAGAAAGAGTGAGAGAGAAAGAGAGAGAGAGAGAAAGAGAGAGGGAGAGAGAGAACAAGACAGAGTGCGGTCTTACAGCGGGTAGCGAACAGGCAACAAAAACAAAAAAAAAAAAAGAGAGAGAGAGAGAGTGAGCATAAATAGAGCACAAATCATAATAAGAGGGGGAGAAAAATGCCGACCGCGTGATTGTTCGCCGTCAACGAGCTAACTTACCTCCATTCATTCATTCTGTCGGCTGATAAGTTTGACATTGCGTGGGTTGGAGGGGACGCACTACCCCGAACTGGTTTGGGGGTTTGTTGTTCGTCCCACCGCGTCGCGCATGGATGTCCTCGTCCTCTTGGTGTTGCTCTGTAGCATGGGGCGGCAACCGAGATCGGCAGCAACCGAGATCGGCAGCAACCATGACCAAGTGGCGTCTCATGGTGAGGACGATCCTCACAAGCCGCACCCATCCACAGTGCGATCGCACCATGCACTCTCAAACACGCATACACGTACGCACACGACGATCGTGTGTGCTGGTCTGCTGCTTGGGGCTGAGCGACGGCGGCGTCGTTTGAAGCGGCTTTGTCATTTTAACCAATAAAATTGTTATTTTATCATTTTGACAGCTCCTCCATTTGAGCACTCTGTTGAGGAGGGCGGCATGAAATTCCGTCAAAAACCGCTCCTGTAGCACCGATTGTGCCTTGTTGTGCCCATCAGAGCGATGGCGATGAACGTTGGTGCTGAGGAGGGAAATCGATCAAATGCATCCAATTCAGCCATTCGTCCGCCAAAAGACACTCATCTTTGCCCTCGAGCTCCACGATGCCACGTCGTCAGAGTCGTGCACAAGGGCCTGATTCAACAACAAGGGCACTGCTCTGAAGTGTGCAAGCAAGGACTCTTTCCACTCGTCTCCCCTTGTGTGCCTTGCGTGGGTGCAACTGCTGAGCATTGTTGAAATCCTTCATTTGCTCAATGACCCTTTGATTGATGGTTTGCAGTTGTTCTTCGTTCCTTCGATTTAGATCTACTCTTCATTTTTCTTTTCCTTTATTCTCTTCATTCCTCGCAATGGCACTGCAGCAGCGCAGTTTCGCGTTCGCAGCAGTCGCAGCACTGCTTGCATTGAGCATTGCCGTCCTCAGCGCTCACGGTGCGTTTTGTTGTGGCTCACTTCAGCTCCTCCTCCTCCTCGTCCTTCTCCTTCTTCTTTATTCTGCTTCTTTCTGTCTTTCTCTTGCTTTGATCGATGCGCGTCATGTGTGCTCTTGGAGTGGCGCCAGAAGACCGAGCTCTCAATGTCTCTCTCTCCTCTCTCGCTCTCTCTCTCACTCTCACTTTCTCTCGCTGCTTGCTACACGTCGCATGTTTTCACCCCCCACACCACGAACGCGCGTCATCGCGGTGTGTGCCTCCTGAGCCTGAGCCTCACTCATGATACCTGCTAATGGAGACCGACTGTGATCCTCTCTCCCATCAACTTTACCCCAATGTCACGTCACTCACTTGACTCGCTCTGGATCATAGTGTCGCTCTGATTCACAGTTTGACCAGTCGCACACAGCGGCTCAGGTGTTTGCCACGTCAAGTCGGAAGCGGCTTCTGGCATGATTGCCGCCATCGACCTCGCATCGCAACCCGCTCATGCCTGCAGACCAGAACAGCTTCGACCGACGTGCTGTCGAGTTTGACTTTGCTTGCAACGCATTCATCTCGGTCATCTTTGCCATCAAGCAGCGCAACACGGACGCACTCGCCTCCAAGCTCAAGGCGGTCTCTGACCCCGCCACCGAGGACTATGGTACAGTACCGTCCACCATGCGCATTCTAGACCACAGGCATGGTCAAACCTGATCGTTTGTTCGCCGCGCTCGATCTATGACTCTTCATAGGCAAGTACATGACCGTTGAAGAAATGGCCAAGTTCGTCGACGGCGAGCCAGACGCTGTCAATAACGTTGTCACCTCGCTCATCCTCCGAAACGTCGCCTACCGCATGCCGGCTGCCAACAACTATGTCATTGTGGACAAGATGCCTCTCGCAGTCGCATCAGAGCTCTTCATGTGCAATGTAAGTTCGGACGAGGCTCTCTCTCTCTCTCGCCAAGCACTTTGCTGAGTGCCTTCTTGCAGCTTTCTGACTCGACAATTCCTTGAGCAGAAACCTACGGAGGCTGGGAATCCTCCATTCGTTGTCGCAGTCATTCGAATTGAGTCGAAACAGCTTGCAACCTCCCTCCATGCTGATGAGCAAGATCAAACCCCCCCCCCTCCCTTCGAAAGCAGGTGGGGAAAGGCTTTTGAAATCCGGTACAATGAACGTCTTTCCACACAAGTGTTTGCCCTCGCGTACACCTGGTACCCGCAAAGTGTGTGGAAAGCGGTTGACCGTTTCTGAATTGTCGCTCCTTACGACAGAGTGCTGTCCCACCGCCTGCCAGCCGTCTACTTGTTTGTGAACCGTGTTGGCTAGCATCATGTCTTTCGTGGTGTATAGGTGGGGAATGCCTGATCCTTCCATTGTCAGCCCGGCTGATCATCTGTTCGAGTTCCTCTGTGAGCTCTTGAGCACTCTCCCCGCATGCCTTCACCGGTGTGCGTTATGACGACATTCAACTGTCTCATATCCTACGTTCTTTTTTCTTTGTTATTCTTAATAAAACTTTAGACGGTAAAAAAAAAAAAAATTCAACTGTCCCATATCCGTTCTTTTTGTGTCTTTCTTTGTCATTCTCAATAAAGCTTTAGACGGGTCAAAATGTTTTAAATGCACATTTCACCTGATACAACAAGAACAAGCACAAGAACAAGAACAAAAACAAGAACAAGAACAAGCACAAGCACAAGCACAAGAACAAGCACAAGCACAAGCACAAGAACAAGAAAAAGAACAAACCCATTGTGCTCCCCAGGAAACGTTCAGTACGGATTGATCGGGCTTGTCACAGGTGGCTGTTCGTCAAAGTACCAGGTGAGATCCGGAGGGGAGAGTTTCGCAGCAAGACCGGGGTCAATGTCTTTCAGAAACTGGTGGAGCTTCGCATGATTGTCGAAATAAGCCGTTTTGTCTGCGCTGCGCTTGTCGAAAAACCGCTGCGCCAAATCGCGAGCTTCAGCTTGTGTCAGCTTGCTGTTGTAGAATTGGTTGGTAAGAGCAGGCACGTCCGACAAATTCGGGTTGTACGACGAGGTCGCTGCAACAGTTTGTTAGAGTGACGGTCTCTAAATCCGGATGGCGCCTCCTACGGCCTGTGTGCAAGCTTCCGCTCGCGCCTTGCCCCCCTGTGTCAATCAGTGCATCAATACCAATGTGTGGGTGAAGTAGCGGGGCGCTTTGGCCCGAACTCATCGCTAGGCACGCGAAAAACGAAAAAATGACGAAAAAGCGGATCCAGCCAAAATCCAATGCATCCGGATTAAAATGCAGGTGTTTTTGGGGCCGCCACGAGGTTGATCGCAAACGCGCCCTGCGGGCTCTGTGACATCGCCAGCCCGCCTTCCGCGAGCCAAATGCAGTCTACACACGATAGGTGTTATCGTGACCAAGCGGGCGCGGAGGTGCGGTCGACACGAGCGTGGGAATGGAGGATACGCTCGAACACCACTTTTGCAGCCAATCCATCGTGAGCTCCCGTCCGGCTGCTAATCGCTCTTCGAGCTAGATTGATGGAGTATATGACATATCAAACCATTTTATTCAATAAACAATACAAAAATCAGGCAGAGTTTACATTTAGTGCGACGAACGGCCGTCGGTGAGCATTTGTTGCTTGTTTGCTCAGGCGAATCACAAGAGATGGTGGATCTTCAACACGAGGACGCTTGTCAAGGTGCTCAGGCGTCGGGGCAGCATTAGAGGCTAGTTGAGTAGCGGAACTGCGCGTTGGGAGGCGACTTTGGCGCATGCGGGCCACTAGTTCATCGGTAAACTGCACTCCGTCGTATGAACCGTCGCTGTCGGACCTTTCAGAGAATGTTCGTTTTGCTGGTGTGATTGCGATCGTTTGCTGGGTCGTCAGGATGGGGAGCGACGGCGAGGGCAGGCTCTCAGTCGGATTTGCAGCAACAGGCTCTGCAGCCTGCGACAAAACTTGCTCTGATTGACGCAAAGCAATCTGTCGGGCACGAGCGGGAGTTTGAGTACGAGCAACAGGGGCTCGAGTACGTTTCGGAGTTGAAGCTTGAAGTGCGGCCAGCTCGTTGCGAGCTTGGGCGAGCTCTGCTTCGCGCAAAGGGTCTTGCAACTCGGCGGCGGCGGCGAGTTCAGTCTGCAGTGCACTGATTCTCCGTGTCAGAGCAAATTTTGCGTGCTCGGCGGCGGCCTCGGCAGCCATGGTACGTGACCGGTTCATCAATCGAGTCATCTCCTGCGCAATCTTCGTTTGTTCTTGCAGTTTTTTTGCGTTCGCCCGCTGCATTGCCTCCTCGGTAATCGCCAGATACGCGCCTTTCGTATGCTTGTGCTTGTAGGTAGTGCTGGTTTGAATTGCGAGGGAATAGGAAGCACGCTGCACGATATCATCGACGGTGATGGGGACGCTCAGCAACTCGCGAAGTTTGCCAACGTGACTGAGTGCATCTCGTTCTAGCGCCTCGGAACTGGGACCAGCTGCAAGTTCAACATCGGCATCATCGAGGATTAGGCGAGCCTTCTTGAATATCAAACGCACCGGCGAAAGCGAGGGAGCAGGGTCTGGGACGCTGGCATACCCGCTCTCCACCGAGGGCAAAGGCGGTGTGGGGTGGGATATCTCGGCACTCTCGACGACGGGCAGCGTTGGAGTCGACAGGAGATTGGGGACGCTCGCCGTGTCTGTGGGCGTTGCAGAAACTGGCTGGACGGGCGCAGCCAAGGCCTCTTTTCCTATGAGTGATTCAGTTCTGCTCGCATGGTCCGGGCTCACCACCCACTCGCAGTATGCATTCTTGTCCAAAGGCCAGATTCCAGTCTTTTTAAATCCAGCAGTGATGACGGCTGTATTTTGCGAAATCTTGTACCACGCATTCAGAGCGCAATGCACTCGCA